CTAAAAGTTAAAATGAATCTAACACTAATTGCTTATTAATTATTTTCTAGCCATTTCTGATAAACTTTTCGTTTTAAAGCAGAAAAAAGGTTCCATCTTGCAGATGCATTATACGATACGAGTAATATCACATGCTAATGATGTCATCCCATTACTTCATATACCGCCAAGCGGAAAAGTTCCATTAAAAACGGAAAGTTAGTTTCCTTTTCTATTTTCAAGTTTAAAACATTGCTAAAATATTTTAGTTAAGCCAACTAAAAACAATTTTTATTTCTAACGTTTGATTTTTTTCTTTTGCTCTTATCTTTTAAATTATCAAAATGCTATTTTTACTGATAATCTAAGCCATTTGAATTACTTATGATAAGTAATCGTTATTGAATATTTTCGTTCCAAAGTTTATGTTTACAGAAATTTTCTTGATTTCTAGCCGACATTATCCGATTTTGGAAACTTTTAATTTTAAGATTCTTTAAATAATTATGGCATAAGTTATAGCATTCAATATTGAGTATCGATGTGCAGGAATTAAAACCGGCAAATTCGATATTCAGGTTAGTTTTAACTTCGATTGGCCTTCTAGTACGAATCAAACAAAAGTTTCATTGAAGCAAGAGAAACTGTGTACGGCACGAACGTTACGTGGTACTTACACCGGTAAGTTTCTAAATGATTAACTGATAAGTATTTCACTTTATTGTCATCTTACTTGACGTATCTTACGTAAACTAACTTTACACGGAAACATTAACCTGAGTGACGTAACTAACTTTTCCAATTTTTCAAGCGTTATTCCTGTGAAATCGATTGACAAAGCACATCAAAATGTAAATATGTGCAGAAAAATGTCGAATGATAATATTTCATTGTATATATACCGTAAACAATGATCAACGTTGCTTCTTTGTAAACAATGACAAATACTATGACCTGTAGTTGACCCGTAATTGGTTGTAATGATGGGACAGGAGAGTGGTGTCCAATTTTAATGGGTTTAATTTATTCGAAATGCTTTAATGATATGCATAGGAATGTAGCTCACATAACTAAAATACGCAAAATATAAACAACAAACGGATAGACATTTGTCATTTTGTTTAATTTGTGAAAAAAAGGATTTTTAATTAAAATTAGAAAATTATAAATGAGAAAAAACCAGGTGACATATACTAGACTTCTTCTCTTCAGTATATTATACTATGTCACTTCATAACTTTCATAACATTTTAATTTTTCATTTCTTATTTTTTAATTTTTAATTTTTTTAAGATTTCATAACATTTTAAATATTATAAATTGAATTATTAAAAAATAGACTTTTTATTGCATCTTTAAAAAGTTTTGCTATTTACGAATGCTAATAAAATAAAAATTAAATTAATCATACTTAAATGCAAAAAAAAAGTGAAAAAGGCAAAATAAAAATAAAAATATGTTAAGATTAAAACATTTCGATTAAGATTTAAAAATTTTAAAATTTCAAACAATCTTTTTTTTTGAATTTAAAACAACCTGAAAAGTAACCTGGAAAATATTAATCTTGCAGACTTTTTTATTCAATCATATTTTAAACTTAAAAAAGAATCTTTCAACTTACTAATCAACAATTTGTCATACAAAAATTCAGTAGTTTAAAATTAGCTATGCTTATAAAATATAATGGGATGAAGGAAGGATTAATTTAAACAATAACAAATTGCTATTCTTTTAATTAATTAGTTAATGATTATCATTTTGGTATGTTTTAATATTTAACATTAATTATTGAAATGTTTTCTTTTTATTTTCTCTCTCTCTTAGTTTTTGAAAAGGATAACATTTATTTATCGTAAATAAGGGGAAAAGAAGAAAAGAGTTGAAATTTACACATTTATATCAGATGATAGTTTAGTGTAAGTACCATAAAATGTGAAATGAGTTGATTAGTTGGAACGACGAATACTCCTCAATCGGTGTGAACTTTTTGGTAGAAGAAAATCTTTCTTTGTAATTGCCGCCTCAAACATTTTATTGTCATACTACTGAGGAAGTTTTAACTCTTTACAAAGAGACAGGGAGAAAGAAAGAGAGAGAGAGAAAGAGAGAGAGAAAAGGAAGAAGATAGAAAGGTTTAAAAGGCTAGGATTGAAATCCTTTTTTCTTGGTTTCTCTTTTTCTTTTTTTTTCCTAAAAATAAAATAATTTTTTTTTGTTTTGTATTATTCAAAGAATCATTACATTTTCCCTCATACTAATTCTCCCCCTTCTTTTTCTTCTTCTTCTCTTCTGCTTTTTTTTTACTGTTAATCTTTTCTTTCCTTTTTCTTCTATTCTTTTATTTCTTAGTTAAATGATCGCTTCCTTCATTTTCTAATTTTTTTCTTTTCCGTGAAATTTTTTTTATTTCCATCTCTAAGAGACAGACAGGCTTTTAATGCTCATTAAATCGAATTGTAGCAGTTGAAATATATTCTGTGAGCAAATTAAAATCTATCAATATGGATTCATTAACAAATTTCAATTATGGTCAGTTCTATTTCTTGGTCATTTTTTTTTTTTGTGATAAAATTTAACTCAAAACGATCAAGATAAAATGACCTGAGTACAACATTATTCAATTCTATTTCTTGTTTAACATCGATCAGTATTAGGTCAGAAAAGATACTTTTAGCTAGCCAATCATTAAGAAGGTCACTTATATGATAATATCAAAAATGAAATAATCTATGAATCTGTATTTAGTAAATTGTTTATTGTTATAAGAAGAATAATTCCACTGGACAAAGCTAAACCATATTTCAGTAATTAGGCAAAGTTAGATTCCAATAGTTTATAAGATACTATAGATAGTTGCGCTTGTCTTAATTGTAACCGAATAGCTTTTCATAATTAGTACTGGCTGGATAGCTTATCCTAATTAGAACTGGGTCACTTGTCTTAATTAATTGGACTTCGATTTTACTGAGACACTACCACAATTTTCAGGGTAACATTCTTAACTTTAATGAAATCAAACTCATCATATATGACATATGTTTGATTACATTAAGGCGTTGTTGTCAATGAAAAAGACAATATACATTCATTTGGAGCTTTTTTCTTTCATATAAATAATTAATATCAGGAAATTTGTTAAATTTTTTAGTTTTCAAAAAAATTCTTACCAACATAATTGGGAAAGAAAGCTTTTAGCTTATCATAAAATGGATGATGATGAATGATGATGATGATGAATGATGATGATAATGATGATAATGATGATGATGATGATGAATGATGATGATAATG